AGCCTCTTCGGGAGCTGGGGACAGGCGGGAGGACTGCAGCAGGCAAAGTGGGGCTGGGAGCTCGTTCTGGCAGAGTGGGGGGAGCAGAGGGGCAGGGGTCTCTTTGAGGGGGCTGTGGGCTCTGTGTAGCTTCGTCACATTTTGCAGGCAGGAGAGGTGCAGGGTGGGAAGCAGGAGCCTCTGCAGCCCCTCTGTGCCACATCCCTGCAACCCCCGGTCCTTAAAGGCACCCACCCAGCACTCATGGCCAATGCCAGCATCCCACGAGCACCCCAAAAGGAGGGGACCATGTCAGGATGGGACCCCCAGTAACCAGAGCCGGTGGAGGATGTGTTCAACCTGCAAGTGGGATTTTGTGGATCTCAGCTGCCACAGTGGAGACACCGAGGAAGCCTCTGGCTGTCTCTCCGAGCATCAGGCTGGTGGCCACGGCTCTTTGGCATGGGAAAACCCACTTGGCCATGGCTGTGAAGGCAGAGCTGTGCTTCCCAATGTGCAAGGGCAAGTCCTGAGCCTTTGCCAAGCGTTCGATAGGGTTTGGGGTTTGCACTGGAAGTTCCCACCATCTGTGAACCCTCCCAGCTCCCTCACCCTGAACAACCACTGGCGGCCTCAGAGAGACCCCACACCCAGGCACAGGGTCCCTCCAAGGCCACCGGCTTTTGCTTTCCCACTGGCTGCCCTCATTTTTGCAGATTTTTTTTTTCCTGTAGATATCCCTAATGGGATCTCTAGGAAGATCCCTGCACTCAGCAGGACAAACCCTCCTCCTCCTTCTTCCAGATGTAATTTTGGGACCTGTCTGGCCAGAAAAATCTGTTTTTTCCCCCCACAGGGCAGACACTGGGAGGAGCTGGGTTGAGGCAAGAGAAGCACCTGAGCCAGTTCTCACTGGAGGTGGGTAAAAGGCTGATGTTTCCCTGGAGCAGGTCTCTTCTAATCCCTGTTTTCAGCCTATTTTCATCATGCTGCTTCACCTTTGCCCTTGCAGCAAGACTTTGTCATCCAGCCTCCACCCCGACTACTTCTGCCCTTGTTCCTCTCCGCGTGCCCCTCCAGGCCTGGTGGGATGGAGGTTGCTCACCCGGTCAGATGATCGATGCCTCTCCGTGCGATGGAGATGGGATTTGCGGTTGCGTTGCTACAGTCGATGCCCGCAGCCA